TTTCCATCACATAAAATATAATATATAATATTTAGATAAGATTAAAATAAAGTACAACGTACATAGTTATCCAAAAAAATAATCATATAAGTAAAACTTTAATAAAAAAACATATATTAACAATTAATAAAATTATAATCATAACAAAATAAATTAAATTTGAGATAGATATAATTTAATATAAAATAAGTATTTAATAAAATAATAAAAATAAATAAAATGTTAATTTATATATAAATTATAAAAAATATTAATATAATAAATAAGCTAATTATTTTTCTATTATTATTTTTTAAAATATTTTTTTATAAATTATTATATATACTTATTATTTTATTAAAAATTACTTTTAAAATAAAATATTATAATTAAAAAATTTAATTTCAAATTTAATATTTTTAAAAATTATATAAACTATATGTTTTCAACAGTATATAAATAAATATATATTAAAATTAAATTATTTTAGAAAGTTATATTAATTAACATATTTTTATTAGATTAAGAGAAAACTATATTATATTTTGTTTTTTTATAATAAATTAAAAGTATAGTTTAATTAAAAAATGTTTTTAATGAATCATTGTTAAAAATAAGATATGAATTCTTTAATATATTATTTTTTAATAAATTTTATTAAATAATGTTATTGATAAAAAATGTTTTCTTGATACAATAAAATTGATTAAATATTTATGTACATTTTATTTATATTTATTAAATTGTATATAATAGGTTTAATTTTTATAAGAAATAAAATTTTATACAAGATAATTTTTATAATTATGTTAAGGATAAATTAATTTTAACTACAAATTTAATTTATTTTGTATAAAAACTTATCAAAATAAACTGAATATAAATATTTGTAGTTTGATAATGCATGTAAAAAAAAAATATGTACAAACTTTTAAATTATACATGTAAAAATCAGATTCATAATAAATTATTCATGTAAAAATCAAACAAACAAACAAATTTTAAGATTAAAACATTTTGTTGTATGAAATGTTTTTCCTCTTATTAGTTGGTATATCATTGAAATATCTTTTAGAAAAATAATTACTACGAACTATTCTTTAATCAATAACTCATTTTATATTGTTCAGAAAATTGAGAAAAAACTAAACATGTAACAAAGTAAATGTGCTAAAGATACTTGTTGCTAAATGAAGCCATATAAATGATTTATGGTAATTAATGTGAAGTTAATTGCAAATTATATGATATTTAAAGAGAGAGCACAAATCTGTCTTTGGGTAATTTTCAAGTTGTTCTTTCACATAGCAACTAAAACTCATTTATAACTAAATATGTTATAATATGTACTTTACATGTTATGCCTTAAGGACCAATTTAATATTCATTATCTTCTTTTCTAGGGTTTTAGAAATTGGCTTTTGGAGAAGATAATGCCTTCTCAATTTGCTTATCCTCTGAGAATAGGATTTTGGTTAGTTACCATATGCTACTTTCTCTTTGTTTCAACCAAACATCTACGAAAGCGTGTAATCTCAATGTTTTCATGATACGGGAGATTGTTAAAATCGGAAGTATTAACAAAGTCGGTAAGTATGCATACATCAACCAGAGTCCAAAGACGAAAAAGTATTAAATTCCTTCTTAAATACAAAAATTAAATAAAAAATATTCAAAGTCTCTAAAGAATTTTGTCTTCCAAAATATATTAACCTAAATACTTGATAGAAATCCCTCTCTCTATATATAAAGACTCTAACGTTTAAAATGACGATATTTATTAAGAAGCCAGATTTTCTGTCTATATTAATGCAACCTTAAATAAAATTCATCAATTTTTCGGGACATAATATAGAAAGAGAGAATGAACGAAAGAATATACAGGAAGTACATTTTAATTACACGTTTATTTCAATAATTCAAGTAAACAATATCTAATACAATATGTTGTATATATTTTGTTGAAAATTTTCTTTAAAAATTATTAACATGTGTATTGTATCTATTAGGGTTTTTTTTCTTTTTTTTTAACACTCCTTCTGTGCATTTTTTAGAAGTGTATAGTACAACACTTGAAAAGATAAACATAAAACAAAATATTTTTTATAATAATTTTTCTATTGAAATTGTCTGTTAAAGTTAGTTACTACATATTATCTAAAGTTTCGAGAAAAATATTCCTTTTTGTTTTAAATTTTGTTAAAGTATAGAAGTTAACATTGTGAATAAAACATTTTTATGTATAAATAATTTTCAAAAAACAGACACTATACATGACGATGAGTTGTCCTACTCTTTGATTGATCTTACATTTTTGTCATGAACGTGTCTACGGAATTTTTTAAGAAGCCACGTGTCCTTCTCAAATTATTATATTTAAATTCAAATGTCTTTATTTAATTTTCTATGTATTCATTCCCATTATACTCTGACAAAAATACTTGTATTAAATATAATATCCCATGTGCTCCTTGGTTTGTGTATTATTTCTGTCTTATCACAAAAATGACATATAATTAAGTCATCTTTTTTATTGAAAACAAAATACTTATTTAATAAGGATATAATTTATACAAAAACTAATTATACTTTGTCTTTCTTTTAATTTCCTTTCCAAATCAAGCAAAGTGGTTGTTAGTGGATAATATGGTAAACTGACGTACGCACCTAAAGTTAAATTTAAATTGACGGGGTTATTGGGGTACATCAGAAATAAAGTTTAATTTATGTCTAATTTTATTTTATTTTTTATTTGTTTTTGTTGTAAATTAGGAAATATAACATAAGATATGTGTTAATTTAATTCACGTGTGGAGCTGAAGCCAACACAAATACAATAAAATATAGATAGATTCTTAGATAGTGACAGACAAATAAGATTGTAGTTTATATTTTGGACACTTATATGTGTAAAAATTTATAAATAAAATATTGTTGATTACTTAAAAAATATATTTTAGAAAGATGTTAATGCTTTACTCTTTAAAAAATGTTACTTATTTAAATAGTGTCACATTTTATTAAAAACAATAAAAATATCCAATTGTGGAACTAAAAATAGTTTTAATTTCCATGTAATATTATATCTGCACAATAATCACTTCACCGTTTATGATTTAATAAAAACTCTATTTTTTTTTTAAATATACAAAATCCGTATAATAAAATTAATATCACTAATTTTATAAATTATATTATAGGTAAATTAAACCTGGATATTTATTTGCTGACAAATTTATTATTGATTAAGTGAAAAATAGAGCCACATGTTTATATTTAAAAAATATATATATAGAAAACTGAAATAAGTAATAAGTAAAAACAATTAAATGTAGATGGAGAGACAGAGACAAAAATGTGAAGAAGTGGAAAAGTGAAAGCAAGAAAAACGTGTGGGAAACATTCCAGTAATGGAAGTGGGACGAGGGTAATGTTTACCACCTCCTTTTCCTCAACTGGAAACACTATTTTCTTTTTCTCTCTCCGTCATTTTTCAAGCCCAACTCATAAGGAACCAGGCCCACTCACTTTATTGCCCTTACCCCTTCCCACCCACATTTTTTACCTAACTTTTTATCCTCTCATTAAACTTCTCTATCAAAATTTTAGTCTTTAATAATGAATAAGTATTTTTTATATCAATAAAAAAGGTTTCACTTTAATAAAACATATAAATGTATTGAAAATCAAAGAATAAAAATAGTCACATATAGAACACATGTTATTCATAATTTCTATAAAATATTTATGATTTCTTTATTAAATTTTAAAATTTTTAAAAACTAATAATTATTATTTTTTAATTTAAATTTTAATTGTCAGAAATAAATACAAAATTACTAGGTATATGTATTTATCATTTCCTAGTTTCGATAAAAATATTTATAGTATTTTCAAAATTTAAAAATATTTTTTATAATTTTTAATAATTTTTAATTAATAAAAATATTTATAATAATTTGTAACAATCAAATCAATAAAGCTTCTATGACATTTTTAGAGTTTAAAATCTTATACATTTAATATTTTAAAAGATATTTTTTAGTCATATATATTTAAATTTAATAAAACCTCCATAATAATTTTAGGATTTAAAATAAAAAATTATAATTATTTGAAATAATTATTTTATTTGATAATAATCAAACTTTGTTTGACCAATTTATATGAAATATAAGTCTTTTACTTCTCATATTTTTTTCCATGTGATGTATTCTATTATTTTATATTTAATTTCATTTTGATATATATATATATATATATGTATATATATATATATATATATATATATATATATATATATATATATATATATATATATATATATATATATATATATATATATATAAATAAAGTAATCATTAAAAGTATGAATTTTATTCTAAGCCTTTTACCATAAACCTCCCAGTAGTGAACCCTCAAGCTCGATAATAGGATTTTGTTATTCGTAAGAAATCTAGTTTATTTGAATAGGAATGTTTTCAAAGGAGAATGTTCCTACTTTATTAAAAATAAAAAATAAATCAAACTTCAACCAAATAAAGCAAAACCTTAGGAATCATTAATGAAGGAAATGGAAATGTGGAAAGAAGAAACAATCCAAAAATCTATTCATATGATTTTTTTTATTTCATGAGTTGTATTTATTTAAATGTATATATTTTTAATAAATAAAATATGATAATTTTTTAAATGTATTTATATTTATCAGTTGAAAATTATTGGCTATTTAATAGGTTTATTGACCAAAATCATTAAAGAAACTATTTTTATTTATTTTGTTATTAATTATTTTTATTCTATTATAATATCTTATATAGATTATTATTTTATGGAATATCAATTTTTTTTTATTTTTGAATATTATATAAAGGGATTTAATCATGAAATAAACCTCATTTTATAATTCATTTTTATATATATTAATCTCTCTTGTCTAAAAGCTGACTTAAGCAGGAATTTCTTTGCATGTAGATTCTACGTTTTCCTAGAGATCATTTTCAAAGCTCTCGACGAACGTCTTATCTATCATCTTTAGCTTGACAAACGTCTTGCCGATCTTTCTGTCTTGCTGATAATCTACAACTCGGTGAACGTCTTGCCGACAATCTCTTGACGAATGTCTTATAAAAAATTTGTAGCTCAATGAATGTCTTGTCGACAATTTGTAGCTCGTCGACCGTCTTGTCAACAATCTGTAGCTCGTCGACCGTCTTGTCGACAATCTGCATTTCGACGAACGTCTTGCTGACAATCTTCAGCTTGGCGAACGTCTTGTCAACAATCTTTAGCTCAACGAATATCTTGCCGACAATCTTTAGCTCGGCGAATGTCTTGCCGACAATCTACAGCTTGGTGAACGTCTTGCCAACAATCTTCAGCTCGGCGAACATCTTGCCGACAATTTTCAGCTCAACAAACGTTTTGCCGACAATCTCCAGCTCGGCGAACATCTTGCCGATAATCTTTAGCTAGACGAACGTCTTGTCGACAATCTCCAGCTTGACGAATGTCTTGCCGACAATCTGCAGCTTGGTGAACATCTTACTGATAATCTTAAGCTCAACAAACATCTTGTTGACAATATTCAGTTCGACGAACATCTTGTCGACAATCTTCAGCTCGGAAAACATCTTGCTGACAATCTTCTATTTGGCGAATGTCTTGCCGACAAATCTTCTGCTCAACGATAATCTTCAATTCAATAAATGTCTTGCCGACAATCTTCTATTTAACGAATGTCTTACTGATCATCTTTAACTCGACGAACGTTTTGTCGATAATTTTCAATTTGGTAAAAATAATATTTTTGAGAGAAATTGAATTATACTAATATAGTTTGAAATAAAAAAAATGGTCAATTTAATCCTTATTTACGTCAAATTTCAATTAAATTGAATAATAATAAACTTATAAACTATTTAGAAAGTAGTCTCAGTTTTGCTTTGATTTATAACAAAACAACAATATTTCTGATCTTAATACACCTCGAACTAAAAAGGTTAACTTATCATATCAGTTTTATATTACAATTAAGATATTAACAAATAATATTTGTTTATAAGATTTTAGAAAACGTAAATCATATCACCATATAAATTAAATATCATCTTCAAACTCTCTTTTATTTATGGGCAGGAAAAAAAAACTAAATATATTTTTAACTATTTGAAGAATTCTATTTGAATAAATTTTCACATTTTAAATTTACATTTAACAATTATATTTTTCCCTCTAACAATTAATAGATTGTTGCTTAAAGTGAAATTAGATTCAGACCTCCAAAATTCTATATATTTTAGTAAAATGTTGTTGTTGAGACATTTTCACTTCTATACTGATAAATTTGATTCTAAGAACATATGAATTTAGTCTCCCTAATTTTAAAAAAATATATGATGAAGTCTCATGTAAGAGACTCTGCATTTTTTAAATATCGAATACCAAATTCATTGATATGAAAAATGTAATACCTTTAATCTTAAGTATATACATTTTTTCCCTTCATTAAAATCTGTGAAACTAAGAAAAAAAAATTCAATGAAGTTCTTCCTAAATTGTTCATTACCAGGCTTAAAATTCAAAATTATAGCCAATATATACTTGTGATAATATCATTAATGTGACTTATTATGTACTAAAAATATTTGTATTAAAAATGATCTCAACGGAATGAAATATATTAAATTTTTTGATCCTGTTATTCATTCTTGCTCTCTCTATCGTTTTTCCTTCTTCACTTTTCTTTTCTTCTTTATTCAGTTCTTCCTTTCTCTTCTATCCCTCTTTCCATTCATTCTTGAAATGACAGACGTTGAGATGAATACAACATAATAAAGAGAAGCAGCGAAAGGAGGAGATAGAACAGTGGAGGGAGAAAAAGAGAGGGAAAAAATAGAAGAATATTTGTTGTGATTATGAATGTTAGAAGTTTAACATTGCAAATGAAGATTATTATTAATAATTATAAGAAATAATGATTATTGAAGAGAAAGGATGAGAGGTTAATTATCCATAGAAAAAGAGACTGTGGCGCCTCCTCTCCCAATAAGGAAAGAAGGCAGAGGTGCTGTAATCTAGAGATTGCTTATTTTATGTGCTGTTTTCAACTTGTTGTTTTGTCAACTCTTGTGAAAGTGAGAGAGCAACAAGAAAGGGATGATGGAGATGATGAAGATGATGATGAGTGGGGTGAGGGGACCATCCAAGAGGCATGGCATGGCATCATGGAATGGCATCAAACCCAAAAGTTAATGTGATGGGAAAGCCACCACAATTTTGAAGCACATGAACATGCGTTGATGGCATTGTGAGTTCAAAATTAAAATCCTAGATGCCAAATTTGTCACCTCTTTTCTCTCCCCCCCTTTTTTTTCCTTTGGCATTCTGGTAAGTCATCATTGACCTTGTTTAATACGAGGAAAACGCTTCTCCTGCTCAAACAATTAAGATGAGAGGTTCCCTCGTGGGTCCTCTCTGCTTGCTACATACAATCATCAACGTTAATAGTACCACCCATACACTCATAGCCTCCTCCCTCCAACCCCACACTATTTTTTTTTTTTTCGTTTACCGAACACGGAATTAATTTTAACATATTTAAAATTAACAAAAAATCTTTTCAAAATTAACAGGCTGTTAACCATTCCTTTTTTGTCTAGTCATTGTGAAATTATAGAATTGAGAGTAATTATAGTGAGAGTTGTATCATACTTTATTAGAGAAGGGAACATATCGTGTAAAAAACTTCAATTAACTTGATTGGTAATTTAATGTAAACGGATCTAAGAAAAAGTAGGCCCGGTAATCCAAAGTAATAGATTAACATGTATTTAATTATAATGAAGTATTAAGAGAAAAGAACAGTGAGATTTAACTGATTAATAGTGTTGGTAGTTAGATGATAGTAATTGAGTATAAACAGTGTAGTAAAAGCAAAAGGCCATATCATATCATGAGTGAATTTGCAATATATATTAATAAGTCAATAATTTGAGCACTTTGACTGTGATGATTAAGGGTAGGTCCCTTGATCTTGATTGTGATTGATTAAGGCCATGGGGAAGCTAAGGCTAAGTACCCTTATTGCAAGTGGAGATGATGTTTTTTAGGAAAAACCATGACTTTCGCTTCAGTTCTGGGATCTCAGACTGTTAATTTAGTTGCTGCTGACTCAAGTTCTCTTCTTTGCCAAAGTGTATCATCATTAATGGCAGTGATTACTGAAACCTAAATCAAACAAGATCCCCAACAGTATGCATTTCCACTTCCCAGAATCGTTCACTGCTCCATTTTCCCAACCTAGATACTCTTTTTCTCATCATGGGTTGAGGTTAACTGGTATAAATAGCAGACATAATAATAGATGATCGAGAAGCATAATTGTCACCATCTACTCTATCATAGACCTTGTTTTTATTTTATGCAAATTAATAAGTAATTTGAAGAAATGGTGTGATATTTTTCTCTCGTGTATTCTAAGCAAATTAAAGTTTTAATAGATTTTAAATTAAATTATAGTTTAGGTGGTTATTTGAAAGATAAAAATAAATATCAAAGTGGGAAGTTGCTATGTTTTCTTTAATCTATCTATCTTAATCCCTATGCGTCATAATCAAGTGGTTGACTAAGTCGAGTAAAAAAACACTATGCTCCAATAGTTTTGTGTGTAAGATTAATGATTCGATTTCAAATTCGGTATAATTAGAATTATAATGACTGCATTCAAGGTAAGTAGGGTTTTGTTTTTAAAACTGTTAGGTTGAAAAAAATATATTTATAAATTATTCTTTATATGGACTTTATAATAGAAAACTATTTTAATACACCGAAACAAGTGTTATCTGGACGTAGAAACATTCCCAGATTAGGATAGGATTCCCACTTGAGGATAAAAATAATGCGACTTGGAAATTCCAAGTTCCAACAATTCCAGTCACTTTCAAAGTTTGGCCTTATAGTTATACAATGAAACCTTACTGAAGAAATGAATACTAGGATTTTCCCATATTTTAAGCAACTGAATGAGAAAAACCTTGCTTGAGGTCCATGAGTGAAAGTAATAAGTTGATGAGTAGGTGGTATATTTTTGGTAACTCCAGCTGGTGGTGGCACTATTACTACTACAATGCCAACTAATTATTATTATGATTACCTTGAAAAGCAGGTAGATGACCACCTGGACAAAGGGGGTACATTGCCCTCTATTTAAGAGGTAGGGGACCAATAAACATACCGAGTCAAGGGGGCAGCCTATGAGAAGTTTGGTTTTCTGTCCACTTTATGCTTCTCTTGTAACCTTACTTTTAATACATATCATCTCCAGCTACATTATTTTTCTGTCAAACTTGCTGCTTCACTATATAACAATGTGCATATCAAACATCTCTGCACTCCCATCCAAGGTCTTATCATGGAAGAAATTGAGATGCATAACTTCAATTACAAAACACAATATACCTACTTTTAGGCAAGAGAGAATTAACTATGAACGAAGCTTAAACATATATATTGAATAAAATTAAATATCACAAAACTCATATGAGGTTTTCATCTCTCTCATCTCAGTTCCAAAATAGAGAAAATAACAAAATTGTGGACTAACAATTAAGTAACTAACCTATTAGAAAAGAAGAATATCTCTCAAAATTCTTAGTGTGTACTCCTTCCTTCTCCTTATCTCATTAAAAATTTGGTTACTCATGTAAATATAAATTCTCTGTTTGGTTCATCATAACATACCTATTCCTTTAACCTATTATATATGGACCAACTTTTCTATAATCATTTTTTACAAGATAACAAAATTATAAGATTTTTATTCAAGAACTTTTTTTTTAAATGTCTAAAGACATTGAAATACATGTGAATGGAAGCAGCACAAACCACCACCCGGCCCAATAACAATACTACAAAAAGAAAGTAGCTTTTCATTGTAAATAGTGTAAATGTGGTTCCAAAATTCACTTCAGCAGGCCATGCTACGGCAGTCCAGATTGAACCTTTAAAGGTGTCATCATGAACCAACTTCTAGAATTTTAAGTTGTTGGGTTATACATGGATGACTTTATATTTATTAACACACCACTCTTTTTTATGCATATACGATGAAATGTAAATGAAATTTATGGAATCTGTAATTGAAATGTCAAATCCAGCAAATAGAGTACAACGAAATCAACATTAACCGATAAAATTTCAGTATTCCGAGCATGCAGGAAATCTGAAAAATAAGAATTAATATCTTTTAGTGGAAGGAATTTGATAAGAGGGAATCAGGATTCTAAAAGTCAGATTGAAAAGAATTTTATCAGAGGAGAGTGTATACTGTTTTTCCATCCTTAATTCCATTCGTAATCCTTCCATTTGTAATTGTGTTTCCTTTCACGAGTGCTGCGCCTAATCCCCACTACTTCTGTATCATTTGCCACGTGTCCAGATGCTTCAACTAACTCTCCCGCGAGTTGTCTCTTCCTTATGCACGTTACATTACCCTCCTCATCAACAACAACCTTGTCCTCAAGGTTGAAATGAGGATAAGAACTTTGAATATCACTCAAATTCTCCCACGTGGAATCTGAAGAATCTGTCACATCCCATTGAATTAAAATCTGAGGGACTAAACCATTATCACGCTGTATCATTCGAGCATCAAGCACTGCTACAGGTTGAATTATTGGTCCCAACTCACTGGAAGTTAATGGAAGGGGCAAATACTGCTGAGAAGTATTGCCATGAAATTTCTTAAGTAATGAAACATGAAACACAGGGTGTATTCTTGCTGATTCGGGAAGATGGAGTTTGTAAGCTACAGAACCAATTTTCTGCAAAACTTCAAAAGGTCCAAAGAACCTTAACCCAAGCTTAACATGCTTTCTTAGTACTACAGAATGTTGCCTGTATGGTTGCAACTTAACCAATACAAAATCACCCACTTGTAGTTGTACGTCACGTCTTTTCTTATCAGCCTGCTGCTTCATATAATTTTGAGATTTTAACAAATGTTGTCTTAGTTGAGTAAGCAAGTGATCCCTAGCTTTCAGTGTTTCTTGTAAGGAAATAGGATCTGAAGCTTGAGATTCATAACGAACAACAACTGGAGGAGGTCTGCCAAATACTGCTTGAAAAGGAGTCATTCCTAAACTGTGATGGAGGGAGGTATTGTACCAGAATTGAGCCCATGGTAACATAGAGACCCAACTTTTAGGATTATCAAAGACGAAGCATCTTAAGTACATTTCAAGAGTCTTGTTAAGGTTCTCTGTTTGTCCATCAGATTGTGGATGATAAGATGAACTCATTGCTAAGGTAGTCCCTTGAGCCTTGAACAAGTATTTCCAAAAGGCACCAATGAATACTCCATCTCTATCAGAAATAATAGATTTAGGGAACCCATGGATCTTAACAATATTGGAAATAAAAGCTTCAGCAACTGATTTACTATTAAAATATGATTTCATAGGAATGAAGTGACCAAACTTTGACAGTCTATCAATGACTACAAAGATAGTGGTAAAGCCTTGGGATGCAGGCAAATTAGTAATAAAATCCATTGCTATTTCTTCCCAAATTTGATGAGGAATGGGCAAGGGTTGTAGTAAGCCAGCAGGGACCATATGATCAGTCTTGGCTTGTTGGCAAACAAGACACTCATTCACAAACTTTCTAATATCGTTCCTCATATGAGGCCAATAAAATTGAGCAGCTATCCTTGCTGTTGTCCTTCTAACACCAACATGTCCACCTATTTTAGAACTGTGAGATTCCAGCATCACCTATTGTAATAAGTGCATAACTTCCGACAATACAATTCGATTTTTGAACAACAGTAACCCCTCATGAACACTATATTTTGCTAAATGTAATTTTCCAAACAAACAATCCTGATAGAGTTTAAGCCATTTGTCATCCTTTTGTGTGAATTCAATTAACTGATGAGACCAATTAGCAACAGGTTCAGAGAAAGCCATAAACAAACTTCTGGAAAGAGCATCTGCTGGAACATTTTTCTTACCAGGATTATACTGGATGGTAAAATCATAACCTAAGAATTTAGGTAACCATTGTTGTTGTTCAGGCGTTTGTAGGGACTGATTTAATAACTCTTTTAAACTTTTCTGATCAGTCTTGATAATGAACTTATGACCCAAAAGATAATGTCGGAACTTAGCAATTGCTTCAGTAATAACATAGAATTCTCTAGTGTAAGCAGATTGTTGTTGCATCCGATGTGAGAGTTTCTTTGAAAAGTAGGCTATAGGATGTTTGTCTTGACTGAGGACAACACCTATGCCCGTTCTAGAAGCATCGGTTTCAAGGACAAATGGAATTTGGAAATTTGGAATGGCTAAGACTGGAGCAGAAGTCATGGCTTGTTTCAATTGATTAAAAGCAGTAGCAGCTAATGAGGTCCACTGGAAATCATCTTTCTTTAGTAGATCTGTTAAAGGTGCGACAATTTGAGCATATGACTTAACAAATCTTCTATAATACCCAATAAGTCCAAGAAATCCCCTTAACTGTTTGATATTAGCAGGCTGAGGCCATTGTTGAACAACTTCTAATTTAGAAATGTCCATGGTAACACCATCACCCGAAAGTGTGTGACCTAAGTAATCGATCTTCTGAACACCAAAAGAACATTTAGAGAACCGAGCATACAATTGATGTTGTGTTAAAATACGTAAAACCACTTCTAAGTGATTTAGATTATCCTCCATGTAGTGCTATATATCAATATATCATCAAAGAAAACCAATACAAACCTCCTTAATAATCCAGCAAAAATGTCATTCATGAGGCTTTGAAAAGTAGCAGGTGCATTGGTCAACCCAAAGGGCATAACCAACCATTCGTAATGACCAAAATGGGTTCTAAATGCAGTTTTAAACCTGTCCTTAGGATTAAGCAAAATCTAGTGATATCCAGATCTTAAATCCAATTTTGAAAAGAAGGAAGCTCCATATAATTCATCAATTAATTCATCTACCGTTGGAATTGGAAATGTATCTTTGATGGTAATGGCATTCAAAGCCCTATAATCAATACATACCCTCCATGACCCATCCTTTTTTTTTACTAGAATAATTGGGGAAGAAAAAGGACTCTTACTTGGCCGAATAATGCCTTCATCCAACATTCCTGCCACCAGCTTTTCCATTTCTTCCTTTTGACTATGCGGATATCTATAAGGCTTCACTTTGATAGGCTGTGACCCTTCCAATAAAGGAATTGAATGATCATGAGACCTTGGAGGAGGAAGTGTAGTAGGAGTGTCGAATACCACGCTATAAGTATGTAACAATAGAGCTAACTCTGGCTCCATATCAACAGGTAGTTCCAAAGGAGAACAAGAATGAGAGTTATCTTCTATTAACTGCATACTATACACCTCAGCAATAGAATCTGTATGAATCATTCTTCGAATATGATGAAGTTGAGCATGATCAGGTGAAACAGTAGAATCTCCCTTCAAGGTAGTAAACTTACCATTCCACAAAAATTTCAGTTGTAATTCACCATAATCAGCTATATGAGGTCCTATAGTCTTTAACCAGCTAGCCCCAAGAATCAAATCAACGCCAGAGATCGGCAATAAGAATACTGGGAATTTAAATGTATTCCCTTGAGCTTGCAGTGTAAGATCCTGTATAACACCCTCAACAGTCATATAGTTCCCATTCTCAACCATTACCTTAAATAAGGTAGCAAGTTCAACAGGTGATTTCAAAAACTTAGCAACCCTGGGCTGCAAGAAATTATCAGAACTGCCCCCATCAACTAAAACTGAGACTGACATTTTATCAATATAAGCCATAAATCGTATAGTGCCAACTCCACCCCCACCTTTTAATGCATTTAAAGATAAATGATGATCATCAACCTCATGGGCCTCAATCTCAGTAACAGATTTGGACTCATTAGTGGCAACAGTGTCATCACACTCATCCGCTTCTAACTGTAAAAACATGAATTGCCTATTTGGACATTTATCATCACAAAAATAACATAAACTTTCTTCTCTTCGAAGTTGCATCTCAACAAAACTTAT